TAAAAAATGTTTAAAAAATAAAATAAAATAAATTTCAATTTATGAAAGAATTTCAAAGATAGTACAGTGTTCACATACACACTTCACCTAGCTTCTGCTACTCTTAACCTCATATTACTGTGGTATGATAATCAAAACTAAAGAATTCAAATTGGTCTACTTACTTAACTAGAAGCTATTGGATATCTCCCGTGTTTCTACTAAAATTCTTTGTCTATTTTAGTATCTAATTCAGGATCCTACATATTTATTCATAAGGTATCCTTAGCCTCTTTTACTATCACTTCAAAGAATTAAGTAGCCTAGGATGTCCCCTCACAACTGACATCCAGCTGTCTGGGGAAGGCGTCTTCTAGCTTCTTCAGCTGAAGATACCTGTATTTGTAGCTTCAAGAGTCACAAAAAATCAACCAGAATTTGAGAACTATGATTTGGGATCTAAACATCTGCTCAGTGAGGGACAGAACTCAGAGGAGAAGTGCAAAGTCTGTGAACATTGGGAATTTGCCTGTTTAGTTTTATAAAAGTGCTAAACTGTTTTCCTGCGTGGCTTTAGCATTTTACATTCCCAAATGTATGAATCATCCAGTTTATCCTCATCCTTGCTAGCATTGGTGTCACAACTGTTTTATGTTAGCTACTCTGATAAGCATATAGTGATATTTCATTGTGGTTTTAATTTGAATTTCCCTTAACGACTAATGATGTTGAATATCTTTGCATGTTCTTATTTGCCATCTGTATATCTTCTTCAGTAAAATGGCTGTTATTGTCTTCTTTTGTATTTTATAATTTTAATGTTAGGAGCTTTTTTCTGTTGCATTTTGAGAGTTCATTATATATTCAATATTTTCCCTTTTTTTTGAATATGTAGTTTGCAAATTTTTATTTCTCTTTGTAATATGTCTTTTCATCCTCTGCACATAGGATTTCACAGAGCAAAAGTATTTCATTTTTGATATGGTTCAATTACTTTATCTAGATTATACTGTATACTGTTAGACATGTATGACATTTCTATATTGTTGAAATTTAAGTGAGCTTATTTTAAATAGCATATAGTTAGATCATGTTTTTAAATCTACTCTACCAATCTCTCTCTTTACTTGATGTATTTAGCTGATGTCCATTTAAGGTAATCATCGCTAAGTTAGGCTTAATTCTGCCAGTTTACCCTATGTTTTCTGTTTTCTTTTCCTCTTTTCTTACTCCTCTGTGGGTTACTTCAACAAATTTTTTAAGATTCAATATTGATTTATTTATAATAATTTTGAGTGTTTTGGTTTGTATTCTTTTCTTGCTGGTTGTTCTAGATATTAAAATATGTCTAACTTATCAGTCTGCTTGTGTTGAGGTGTTATCACTTTGAGTGAAATGTGAAACTTTACTTCCTTTATACTTTATTAATTTTTATATTTTTAGTTTATTTTTTAATTTTTTGGTGAAGTATTGTTGATTTGCAATATTGTATTCTTTTTAGGTACACAAAAAGTGATTCAATGTTTTTGCAGTTATACTCCATTATAAGTTATTATATGATAATGGCTATAATTCTCTCTGTTATACAGTATATCCTTATGCTTATCTGTTTAATACATAGTAGATTTTATCTTTAATCCCATACCCTAATTTGTCCATCCTCCTTTCCCTCTCTCCTTTGGTAATTATAAGTTTGTTTTGCATACCTGCGAGTCTATTTCTCTTTTGCATATATATTCATTTTTATTACTTTTTGTATTCCACGTATAACTGATATCATACAGTATTTGTCTTTCTGTGTCTAACATTTCTATGCTAGAGAATATTCATTCTATTTAGTAAATGGCTGAATTTCATTCTTTTTTATGACTAATATTCTATTGTGTGTGATATATATATATATGACAACATCTTTATCCATTCGTCTGTTTATGGGCATTTGAGTTGCTTCCATGTCTTGGTTATTATAGCAAACAATGCTGCAGTGAACAGAGGGGCACATATGTCTTTTCAAATTACTGTTTTTGTATTTTCCTGATATATATGCAGGAGTGTAATTGCTGGATCATATGGTAGTTCTATTTTTAAACTTTTTGAGAAACCTTCATATTGTCTTCCATAGTGACTTCACCAATTAATATTCTCACCAATAGTATACATAAAGGTACTTTTTTCTCCACATCCTCTATGACATGTTATTTGCAGACTTTTTGATAATAGCCATTCTGACAGGTGTGAGGTGATATTTCATTGTCATTTTGATTTACATTTCTCTAATTAGCAATTTTGAGCATATTTTCATGTGCCCCTCTTCTTCAGAAAAATGTCTATTCATGAATCTTGCCTTTTTATTGAGTTTTTTGATAATGAGTTGTATGAGCTATTTATATATATTTTTATAATAACTGTCACATGATTGACAAATATTTCCTCATGTTCTGTAGGTTATCTTTTTGTTTTGTTGACAATTTCCTTTGATGTGCAGAAGCTCTTAAGTTTAATTAAGTCCTTTTACTTTTTCTTTTATTTCTTTTGCTTTAGGGGACAGATCTCAAAAAACATGGCTCTGATTTATGTCAAAGGATGTGCTACCTATGTTTTTTTCTAGGATTTTAATGGTTTCAGGCCATATGCTTGTCTTTAAAACATTTTGAGGGTCTTGTTTTTTGTTTTTTGTTTTTTGTAAGTTGTGTGAGAGAATGTTCTAGTCTCACCGTTTTACATGTAGCTGTGCAGTTTTCCCAGCACAACTTGTTGAAGAGACAACCTTTTCTCCATCATATATTCTTGCCTTCTTTGTTGAAGATTAATTGACCATAGGTGTACGGGTTTATTTATGGATTTTCTCTTCTGTTCTATTGATCCAAGTGTCTGTTTTTGTGTAGTACCATACTGTTTTGATTACTCTATCTTTTTAGCACAGAATGAAGTCTGAGAGTGTTATACTTCCTGCTTTTTTTCTACTTTCTCAAGAATGTTTTGACAGTTTGTGGTCTTTTGTGGCTCCATATAAATTTTTGAGTTTTTGTTCTAGTTCTATGAAAAATGTCATGAGGTTTTTTTTTGATAAGGATTACATTAAATTTGTAGATTGCTTTGTGTATTATGCATTATAACAATATAAATTCTTGCAATCCAAGAGCATCTGTATCTTTTCATTTCTTTGTATCATTTTCAATTTACTTCATCAATGTTTTATAGTTTTCAGAGTACAGGAATTTCACTTCCTTGTTTAAGTTTATTCCTAGTTTTATTATTGTATAATTTTTGATGCAATTTTAAATCGAAAATTTTTTAAAGCTTTTTATTTCTGATATTTCCTTTTTTGTGTTTAGAAACATATGAGAGTTAGTCCTTTATATTAATCTGGTATACTGGAACATTGCTGAATTCATTTCTTAGTTTTAATAGTTTTTAGGTGGAGCCTTTAAGATTTTCTATATAAATTATCATGTCATCAGCAAATAGTGTCAACTTTACCTCTTACCTTCAATTTGGATACCTTTTTTTGAATACCTTTTATTTCTTTTTCTTGTCTGATTGCTGTGGTTAGAACTTCTAATACTTGAAAAAGATGTGGTGAGAGTAGACATTCTTTTCTTGTTCCTGAATTTAATGGAAAGGCTTTTGACTTTTCACTGTTGAGTATGATGTTGGCTGTGAGTTTGTTGTAAATGACCTTTATTATGTTGATATATGTTCCTTCTATACCTTGCTTGAAGAGAGTTTTTATCATGAGTGGATGTTTTATTTTGTCAAATGTTCTTCCTGTGTCTATTGAGATGATCCTGTGATTCTTGTGGTTTAGTTAATGTGGTGTATCACACTGACAGATTTGTGAATGTTGAACCATCCTTGTGACCTTGGAATAAAGCCATCTTGACCATGATATATGACCCTTTTTATATACTGGTGGATTTTGTTTGCTAAGATTATGTTGAGGATTTTTACATAAATATTCATCAAACATATTTACCTGTAATTTTTGTTGGAAAGTTTTTGTCTGGTTTTATTTCAGGGTAATGGCAGCCTTCTAGAATAAATTTGGGAGTTTTCCATCCTCTTCAGTCTTTTGGAGTAGTTTGAGATGAATAGATATTAGTTCTTTTTTATATTTTGTAGAGTTCCCCTGTGAAGCCATCCAGTCCTGGATTTTGTTTGCTGGGAGTTTTTTGGTTTTGTTTTTTCTTAATTAGAAGTTTATCTCATTTCTAGTCATTGGCCTGTTCAAATTATATGTTTCTCCTTGATTCACTCTAAGCAGGTTCCATGTTTTTAGAGCTGTGTCCATTTTTTCTAGGTTGTCTATTTTTTGGGGGGGTCATATAACTGTTCATAGTGTTCTCATGATTTTTGTCTCTATGGTATCAGTTGTTATTTCTCCTCTTTCATTTCTTATTTTGTTTATTTGGGTTAGCTCTCTTTTCTTCTTGGTAAACCTGGTTAAAGGTATATCAATTTTGTTTTTCTTTTTTGAAAAACAGCTTCTGGTTTCATTGATCTTTTCTGTTGTTTATTTTAATTTCTATTTTATGCATGTATGCTCTGATCTTTATTATTTCCTTCCTCCTGCTGACTTTGGGTTTGTTTGTTCTTCTTTTACTAATTCCTTTAGGTGGTAGGTTAGGTTGCTTATTTAAGATTGTTCTTGTTCCTTGAGGAAGGCCTATATTGCTATAAAGTTCTCAATTAAAACTTCTTTTTGTTGTAACCCATAGATATTGGAAAGTTCTGTTTTTTTTCCTTTTTCAGTTTTATTAGGGAGAATTGTTACAATTGGACTGCACATACACATTATGTTACATGTAAATACACATATAGAGAATACTGCACAGTTTTTTAGTTTACATATATGTACTAATTATTGTTTCTAAGAACAGACTAGATCTTTAGTTGTTTAAACTTACATAGTTATCAAAGGAATAAAGCCAACTACAAAATAAGAATTAACAGAATGCAGTAATCCAATCATAAAGGACAGTCAAATGTGCTTATTCAAGAAATCAAAATAGTAATTAGTTCATTTGTGTCATTATTATTATTATTTTTCAGATTCCTTATATAAATGATGTCATATGGCATTTTTCTTTCTCTTT